GACACGGTGCAGGGAGGGGGCAGGCTGCACACATGCCTTCTTCAGACCTGCGCTGGGACACTGGACAGATGTTCACAGGCGCAGGGACCATCCCACGCAAAACCACAGAGCCGCGGGCCACCCGAGTGTGTTCACCACAGCAAAACGGGGAAATACACTAAGTCAATGAAATGCAGGATTTTTGAACTGACAATCCATGCCCTCATCAAAAATGTGTATTAATATTTTAAAAATGCTTAAAAGGAGGAGATAGCATACAAGTTTATAAATTCTGTTAACCCTTACAAAATTGACTACTGTATATTTAAAAATTATTGTTCAGACATGTTAAACGATAGTCAATATCTGTTAAGCTATGAGATAAAAATGTTTATTCTTGATATTTTTGAAAACTCTGCTTCTAAAAAAAAAAAGACTGAAAGAAAATGTACCCAATCGATGTACTGACTGTCTCTTAGGGCAGCATTTCAGGGGTTTTTTTCTTATTTATACTCTTAATAGTTTGCAAATGTTCTATAGTAAGCATGCACTCCTCTTATAGCAGAATTGTGTTTGTGGTATTATGTGTCTTGCGAGCTCTGAAGAGTTGCCATAGGAACACAAGAGAGATAAGCTTCCCAAGGGGCAGAGTCACCGCGTGGAGCAGACCCTGCGGGAGCCCAGGACCTGAGTCACACACCTCTCCTCTGCCTCTCGTCCACCTCTCCTGCCACCTGTCACCTGAACATGAGGAAGACCCAACCGTTCCAGCACACGTCCCGGCTCAAGTGCCACAAGAGCCCCAGAGAGGCCCTGCGGCTTCCACATCGCGCGCCAGGCGGGGGTCCCTCCTGCTGCCGGGCAGGAGGCGCCAGCTGCCTCATTAGCCGCAGGACCCCCGTAAGGAAGGAGCCTCTGCTTTGCTTGTATCAAATTTACCCCAATAACTCCAGACCAGTGGCTGTCCTAGTACAGATGGTGACCAGGTGGTCTGGTGGGGTGACCCTGCTGTCTGTGACCCCCTCATTCTAACAGACTCAGGGCCAAACCTCCGGGGCTCGCCTGAGTCATTGGCCCCCAGGCCAGCAAGTCTCCCATTGGCTGTCCACTCACTGCTGGGAAGCGGGCTGAGGGTCACCCGCAAAGGGGCCCCTGAGAGGACCACACACACCTGTAGCCCCCAAGTACCTGAATAAAGAGCTAGGGTTCTCGAAAGGTCTTTTCTATCCTGGCTCCTGGGAAAGCCACACTTACTTCCAAGGGATGCTTTGCAGAAGGAGGAAGTTCTCAATGAATTGTCTTGAATGCATTTATCTAAGTGGGCAGAATTAGATTAATAACCTGCTACTCAATTGAACTGGACCCTGTATAGACTGAAGTTTTTTAAAAAGCTGCATTGTGGTTTGTAGAGTAAAACAAAATAAAAACAAACGTTCCATGGAGCCATCAATTAGGTTCTGTGGTACTACAAAACCACAGAACCAAAGGCCTCTTGCCCCGCCCCTAACCCCCACGGAACACCTCAGACATGCCCTTTGTAGCGACTGGAAACCCAAGGGACCGGGCTTTACCGCTCCGCAAGTGCATGCATTTCTGAACAAATGCAATAAAAAGTCATATTAATCACTCGGCTCGTGAAAAAAGTGACCTTTCTGTGCCTCATTTTTAAGCAACTAGAAATCTTAGCTATCACATCCTCATGGGCATGAGGAACTTATAAAGTCTGCTGGCATATTTTATAAAGTCGAAAAGTCATAAACGGTGGCCTTGCTTTATGCCACCAGCGGTAATTCAGGTCGGTCTTTGTTATCCGGGAGCGGTGTATGGGCTTCCTCTGAACTTCCTGTGAGGTCGGGGCTCAGTTCCCCAGCCTCTGTCTCCCCAGGGGAGCCCCACGCACGGGCTGGTACCTGCCATTCCCATGGCACCTGGCCGATGCCCATGGAAGAGACTCTAAGGCCGAAAACGACCTTACACCTCGGTGAGGCAAGAAGGCTCTGAAAATCTCACTGGTAAAACTGCTCAATCAAGGCCACTGGGTAGATTCCAGAGACCATCCAAACAGACCGCCAGCGTCCTAGGGCAGGAAAGGTGGGTGCCTTGGGCAGCCCTGACCTCACGCAGTGACTTTGATGCTGGGAAGGTGGATTGGGGCTCGCTGATTTCCAGAACAAAGAGATGGAAACGTAGATACGAACAATGTGAAACTTAGAGAATTGTCAGGAGGCCCCGGCCTTCTGGGAACAGGGCAAGTGAAGAGACACAGAGCTGTGGCATCATATGGCAGCCAGGGCAGGGGCAGCAGACTGGGCAGGGGCAGCAGCCAGGGCAGGGGCAGCAGACTGGGCAGGGGCAGCAGACTGGGCAGGGGCAGCAGCCAGGGCAGGGGCAGCAGACTGGGCAAGGGCAGCAGCCAGAGCAGGGGCAGCAGCCAGGGCAGGGGCAGCAGACTGGGCAGGGGCAGCAGACTGGGCAGGGGCAGCAGCCAGGGCAGGGGCAGCAGACTGGGCAAGGGCAGCAGCCAGAGCAGGGGCAGCAGACTGGGCAGGGGCAGCAGCCAGGGCAGGGGCAGCAGACTGGGCAGGGGCAGCAGCCAGGGCAGGGGCAGCAGACTGGGCAGGGGCAGCAGACTGGGCAGGGGCAGCAGCCAGGGCAGGGGCAGCAGACTGGGCAGGGGCAGCAGCCAGGGCAGGGGCAGCAGCCAGGGCAGGGGCAGCAGACTGGGCAGGGGCAGCAGACTGGGCAGGGGCAGCAGACTGGGCAGGGGCAGCAGCCAGGGCAGGGGCAGCAGCCAGGGCAGGGTTGTGACTAGTGGAGACATTGTGTACTAGCTTCCAAGACCATGAGGTCAGTGTCATGGCCACTAAACAAGCAACCCCACTGGGTGGCAGACAGGGTATCTAAACGGATTGCCACTGCTAACACCCTCCACGCTGTGCAGAGAAAGGGAGAGCAGGTGACTGAGCAGGAAGAGAGGCTGAATGATAGGGGTAGCCCGAGCACCCCTTTCTTTCCGAGGTCCTTCCATCCTGGTCGGTACTCAGCACACCAAGTGGTTTGTGGGTTCACTGACAAGTCTTTGGTATTGAGGGGGACTAGACTGCATAGAGACAGAGCTGGGGCAGTGCAGAGGGCACAGGAAGAGGCAGGCAGGTGGGGCTTGGCTGCCTTTCGCACCTGCCCTCCCCACCTGCCCTCCCTCACCTGCCCTCCCCCACCTGCGCTCCCCACCTGCCCTCCCCACCTGCCCTCCCTCACCTACCCTCCCCCACCTGCCCTCCCCATATGCCCTCCTCACCTACCCTCCCCCACCTGCCCTCCCCACCTGCTCTCCCCCACCTGCCCTCCCCACCTGCCCTCCCCACCTGCCCTCCCCACTGTCCTCCCCACCTGCCCTCCCCACCTGCCCTCCCCACTGTCCTCCCCACCTGCCCTCCCCACTGCCCTCCCCACTGCCCTCCCCACTGTCCTCCCCACCTGCCCTCCCCACTGCCCTCCCCACCTGCCCTCCCCACTGTCCTCCCCATATGCCCTCCCCACCTGCCCTCCCCACCTGCCCTCCCCACTGTCCTCCCCACTGTCCTCCCCACCTGTCCTCCTCACTGCCCTCCCCACCTGCCCTCCCCACCTGTCCTCCTCACTGCCCTCCCCACCTGTCCTCCTCACTGCCCTCCCCACCTGCCCTCCCCACCTGCCCTCCCCACCTGCCCTCCCCACCTGTCCTCCTCACTGCCCTCCCCACCTGTCCTCTCCCACCTGTCCTCCCTACCTGCCCTCCCCACTGCCCTCCCCCACCTGTCCTCCCCACCTGCCCTCCCCACCTGCCCTCCCCCACCTGCCCTCCCTCACCTGCCCTCCCCCACCTGCCCTCCCCACCTGCCCTTCTTTATCCATCATTTGGACTCCTCCATGCACCCGGAGGAGACTCAAGCTGTCCTACACTGCAGGGTTAGTTTAATCAAGTCATCACTACAGCTTTTATAACATTTTAGCTTAATCAACACCTCTAGTTTTAAAATCATGTCTTTAAAAACAAAGTGACCTCCTGTGTGTGTCCCTGGCATCCTCCACCTCGCGCCCTGTGCACGCGGTGCCGCGCTCACTTAGGGAAACCAGCTGCCCTGCGGCTTCGCGTTCACGGCTCCGCTCTCCCTTCCGGTCCCTGTGGCCAGGCTATGTTTTGCTTTGGGGTGAGTGACTAGAGAGGGGGCGAGAGGGGCATTATAAGGCTGGTGCACAGGGAGCTCGGTCTCTGGGGAGAGGGGCTGAGACAATCCTGCTTCTGATTCTCAAGAGCCGGGACCTCTCCATTTCCAGCCCAGCCCTGCTCAGATTGCTGTTCTGGGGGGGCTCCCTTCTCAATGCCCCTGCACCCCAGTTCCCACTGCACTTGCCCCGGGGTGCTGACTGCAGGGAATTTGCTTATGAATCCCCAAGGTCATCGACAGAGCTCATTGCGTCGTCATTACACACAGGGTCCCATTTCTGCCTCTGCGTTCAGTCTCATTTGTGAAGAAATCCAACTGGGCTAACCCATTGTTTCAGCTCATTTTACACCCGAAAGCCAAAGCAGGAAATAAAAGTCACTGGAAGGAGATTCGATTATAAAATGTTTTTTTTCCCCATTAAGTTCAAAATGAGATTTACTAGTCAGCTGCAATTAAGACATCTCAGAGACTAAAAATAGTCAGACTGATCCCTAGATGTGAAGGCCCGACTTGAGTAAGGAAACCACAGGGTGTCCGTCCGGGAGGGGGCACCAGCGGGATCGTCAACAGACAAGCACTTCCCGTGTGTGACGCGGGGATGGGCCCTTCCCGGAGACCCCACGCACCCACCCTTCCAAACTCTCCGTCCTCCCCTGACACAGGAGCAGGGACTCCTCTTCCTGCTGCTCTGACACCCGAATCTCCCACGACCTGACCCCACGAACTCACAGAGGAAGCAAAGCGTGCCTCCAGCTGCGGAGACAGTGACAATTACTCATTTCTGAGAGTCATCGCCGGCGTCCAGGCCCTTACCCCTCTCTCCAGGAGCATGTCTCGGAAGTGGCTCACACGCTCCTCCAGGGGCAGAAGGATCTGGGGTGGCGGCGTCCTGGTGCCCTTGTCCCCTCTCTCCACCTCCTCTGGCCCAGGACTCACGTGGCCTTCGGTCCTTTGAGGCACAAGACACAGAGAGTTAAATGTGACCCCAGAGACCCACTGCTTTCCATGAAGCCTCTAAAACCCTCTGAGGAACTCTGTACAAATCTCGTTTTACACCCTGGTGCAGCCACCCCAGCGGAGGTGGCTGTCTCTGCCCGTGGGGTGCAAAGTGCTTTGTTACATTTGAGGAGCAAAGCTGAGACCGAAGCCCTAACTGACGGGCACCAGTGGGGAAGGAGGTGGTGGAGAGGCGCCTGAGGTCTGAGTGCGCCCCAGCTGTACGGGGACCCAGGGAAGGGAGCCGACTGTCACCGTTTCACTGCCCAGATGCGGTCGTCACTCAAGGTACAGGACTGAGCCTTTCGTTTGAGCAAATCATCAGAGTTCACACCTCGTTTCATTCTTTGTTTAGTTTTGCACAAATGTGTGGAAGCCAACTAAGGGGAAACTACTCTGTCACCACTCAGGGAAAGGCAAGTGTTGTCCTGAGTTCTACCCCAAAACAGAGACATCAGTGACAACAGGAAACCGGGACCCTAGGGATTGGGGGGTCAAGTCCCTCACACCATCACATCCGGGCTTTCTGACAAACGTCTAGCACAGTGCTCTCACTGGGGGTGACCTGCTCCTGGGGACGTTTGGCAGTGTCTGGAGACCTGTGTGGTGGTCACACCTGGGGAGGTGCTACCAGCATCCAGTAGAGGCCAGGGCTGCTGCTAAACCCTGTGACGCACAGGACACCCCTCAGATGGGACAGCCTGGGCCAGGTGAGCCCACCTGGGGACACTCAGGATGCTGGTGAACCGACGCTACTTACATTTGGGGAGGAAGAGATGGGACCGTTCGAGGTCATGTGGTCATTTAGTGGCCAGAACCAAGTGAATCCCCACCTCCTGACACCTGCCAAGGAGGGGGCCTTCCTGTTCCTGTCTGTCCAGGATACTGTGGGAATCCATTAGACCACTGTGAGGACCTGCTCAGAATACTCCACGTCTAACAAGGGATGTCACGTACTAGGGTTGTCACGTGGACTAATCCAAACACACAAAGGAAAAGATGACCGCTCAGCCCATTAGGAAATCGTATTTATACACCAATATTTCAGGGGAGCTTAATGGTCTTTGCGTCCCATGCGATTATGTGGGATTCTGAAAAAAGAAAATTACCAGTGGATTTGCGATTGTATATATTCCGAAGAGTATAATTAAGCTTTCTTTGTAATAAATGTTCATTAGTTAAAAATAGAAGTGTGGTAATAAGACCCGTATTGTTGTTAACTCGGAATAAGATTAATAAGACCGTCGTGAGCTCACCGACGATTGTGTGTTGACGCTTACTCGACAAAACGTTTTGTTCAGAAACACCTTCCAGACTGCTGAGCCATTAGTTCAATTAGAACTGGTCAGAAGCAAATGCCAACTTGCTAAATATATTATTAATGTTCTCATGGCTGAATGACTTTGGTAGCTTCAACTAAAAGTAAGTCTGAAAACTTCATAAAGCTAGCTTCAGCCAAAGTTGTCCTGAGGGTGACAGGCAGCGTCCCCCAGGTCACACTGTTGGGGTCTCACTCCATACTGGCCATGTGGGTGGGGGACGGCCTCTCGTGGGGAAATGGTCTCACTGCGTGGCTGAGCCCTCACTGGACTGATGTGTGGCCTTGGAGACTGCATCATGGGTGGGAAGGGAGTCTTGTCCAGCCTCCCCATTACCAAGCCTGGGCCGCAGCCTGGGGTCTCTTTACTCCGAGGATAGCACCCTCCCTGCCTCTGTTCCCCAACTTTCAGAGCAGTGATTTTCAACTTTTTTCATCTCCTGGCACACATAACCTAATTATTAAAATTCTGCAGCACACCAAACAATATTTATTTTGCCAATCTGACAAAAACAAAAAAGGCTAATTTTGATCCATTCACACTGGATAACTACTGTTGTGTTGTCATTTTTTTTACTTGACAATCTAAGGGAAAAGAGGTCAGTGCCCCTAAATAGTCAGGTATTGCATGTTTTAAAATTTTTGGCAGCTCATGGGGTGAAAACCGCTGCCTCCAGGGAGGGGAGGGGCCTGGCCAGTGAGTTCAACCATGTGGCCAGTGTTTAATCCATCTACCTGTATGTGACCATACTGACACCCTGATAAAAACTCTGGACAAGGAGCTGGGGAGTTTCCTGGCTGGGGAGCATATCGGGGTACCTGGAGGGGTGCACCCCAACCCCATAAAGACAGAGGCTTCTGTACTCGGGACCCTTCTGGACCTTAGTCTACATGCCTCTTCCACTTGGCTAGTCCCAAGTTGCACCCTTTCGAATATATCCATAATGTTCAGTGCAGTGCTCTCTGGGTTCTGGGACTAAATGGGGGTGTGGGTTCTCCTGAATTTATAGCCAAGCTGAACAGAAGTGTGGGTGGCCAGGGGGTCCTAGCCTGGCATCTAAAGTGGCGGAGTCTATGGGACTGAGCCCTTAACCTTGGGGCTGGGGGTGATGCCATCTCCAGGCAGTTAGAGTGAGAGCTGAGTTAGAGCACATACTGGGCAGCCCAAGAACCAGCTGGCCGGCTGGCCGAAGGGACCCGGGTGGTGGCCGTGACCTGAGCGTGGACACAGACACTGCGGGAGGCAGGCCTCACCCATCGCCAGGGAGGGCGGGGGCGGCTGCCCCTGTGGGCAAGGCCGGTGGGACGGTCCGGTTGCCGTCGGAACGCAGGCCCACTTCAGCTTGTTATTTTTCCATCTAGTGTATCGCTGGCAATTTCTTCTTCAATATGTTTTATGCCCAGTTTCATTCTGGTTTTTACACCACACGGCACATTCCAGCTCAACGCTTAAAGCGATTCCATTATTTGAAATAAATCCTCAGGTCTGAAAACAGCACATTTGAAAAGTAGGTCTGAACTCCGACCAGAGCCAACACAGCGAAACAGGCAGACGCTCTGGGCGCCGCACAGACAATGGTCTGTTCTCCGTCCCAGGGAGGTGGTGACCTCGGGTCACACGCGTGTTTTGGTAAACAGTCCACAACAAGCCGCTCGGCAAGGCACCCACCAGGGAGTTTAAAACATCTGAGGCATTGGCGAGCGTGTCGTGGTGACAGTTAGGAAGGCCTCCTTCGGGCTGACCCCGCGCCGTGCGTGTGAGAACGCCCACGTGGATGTGGGTCCTGCGGGAGCCTGAGGGGTGCAGGGAGAAAGGAGGGTGGCATCCCCGACAATCACCGCCGCGCAGATCCCGTTTCGTCGCCGGCCAGCGTGGCTGCTGGTGACCCACACATCGCAGAAGGATGTCAAGTGCTTTTTGATGAGGAAAATCATACTGTTTATATAGAAAGGGGCGGTCAGAATGGAGCAGGTGCTCCGGAGGCCTGCCCTCTCCCTGTTGTGCCCGAGTCCACCGGACACAACATGGACAGCAGATGTGAGCTTGAGCGGCACTTGGCTTCCTGACAAAACCCGGCCAACGACGCACAAAAATGCCACATCCAGCCAGAGCCAGGGACGTGCACACCAGGGCTGTGGAGGGAGCTTCGGGGCGGCTTCCAGACAGGAGAGGCGCCGTATTTGGGAGCCAGCTCATGAATGAATGAAGGGACATCGAGACCCTCCTCTGGCCTCAGGACCCCCGTTGAGGTGCTGCCTCCCAGATCCCAGTGGCGGAGCCGAGCCGCCGTGCATCGACGCCTGGAACGTGACGGGCGACAAGCGTCCGAGCGTTTTCCTGGCACCGCGCTCTGCGGGGTGGACACCGGCTTGGAAACCTGAGCCAGAATGGCGGCCTCCTGCAGGACCTGGCCTTCCAGTGTCCATGTGCCACCGTGAAGTCATTCAGATGATTACAAACAAAATTAATGTGTTGATGGCATTAAAGGGCCAACGGCTGAGAATTGAAGGCCAGTCCCGCGGGAACACTGAAGCCCAGCTGCCTTGGATCCTGCTCGCCTTCCTCCACGCAGGTTCAAAGTCGCCCAATGACGGCAGCCTTTCCGTTTCTTCATGCCTCAGAAAGCTTGTTTTTAAAAGTATTTATATGTCTCCAAAGACCAGCAGACACTGGCTCAGCAGATACTCATGGTGAGAACATAAAAGTAAGGAGACGTTACTCCCTTTTCTGGAGTCCTTCACCCCACTAAAGTCACTTCGTGTCCATCCTCTGTGGCCCTTTGATGCCCAAAAGTGCCTTTCGAGGGAGAAGATTTGGGGGAGCATGAACATGGAGGCCTGTAAGGTTGGGTGAGGGAGCCCTAGGTCCCCTTCACCCCGAAAGGAGACTCCTGACTCCCACCAGGACTGTGCCCAGTCTTGGGGAGGATGGTACTCACCCTTCCTGCACTGTTTCTGGAAAGTTCCGTGATGTCTGCTTGTTATCAATGAAACTGACAATATTCCTGGGCCCTATCAGCATAACAACTTTTAAGGAAGTGCATCATGGGAAAAGGCCTGGACGCATGGAAATTGATGGGCTTAATGAACTCACTCAGGTCTAATTCCACATGTTTGTCCGTGGGCGTCCCATGAAGAGGTGAGTCTACTCCTGAACCCTGCTGCCAGGCTCTCTCCCTGTGTCTGCCTCTCTCCCCAATACCCCATCTTTTTGGAAGCCTTAGGGTGAGAACCAAAGAGGTGAGAATGGGCACAGGTTCAAAGGCAAATTTCACTTCCCTTCATTCCTGCAGAGCTGCGTGATTGCAGAGTATTGCTCTTTGAGGAAGACTTTTAAAGAGACAGTGCAAACAGCGCCAACACGCCTGACAACGGCCTTCAGATTCCTGTCGTAGGGTATCTGAGAGAGGGTGACAGGCAGACTCCTGGCACCTGACTAAATGCACCCTCGGGGCCATGACGAAGGCCAGTTTTGACGGGACACTGGGCCGCACGTGAGCTCAGGAAGAGGCCTGTGAGCCCCGCCATGGGTTCCCTTTTAGATCCATCCCCACCTTCTCTGCCCAGCGACCACAGCCTGTCACTATCTCCCCTTCTGGGAAACGTAGACGCACAGACCCCGAACTTTACCCCTGTATGTGGAACTCATAGGAAAGGCCCCAAGACGGGCGGGGCCTGCCAGGAGGGTAAAGGGGTGACGGGCTTCCCTTGCCTTGGACGAGAGTGGCCTTCCCACCCACGGGTGCTGCAACCACCACAAACAAAAGACGACACCCAGTCCGAGTGCGACAGGCGGTCACATGCGGTCATCCCATTCAGGTGTCCCCTCAGCTGCTGCCAGGGGCTCTGCCATCTCCTCTGGCAGATGAAAATCCTGAGATGGGGGCGGGATTACTTTGCCCCAAATCACAAAGTGGGTGAGACAGAGCTGGCAGGCCCCCCCGGAGCTGCCCGACCCCAAACCCACCCCTCACCCAGCACAGGGCGTCACCTGGCACCTGGATGCCCCGTCCACTCCTGCAGGGCTCCGGAAGCCAGAGCCACCGAGACACCCGCCCACGGACCCTCAGGACACCCGGGTCATCGCTGAGACGGAACCCGAGACCTGCCGCCACCGGTGAGTGCTGGACCCCGGCTTTGTCCGGTCAGCGGAGCCCAAACGGTCCTTTTCTCTCTACACCCCCAACTGTCTGCCGAGGAAAGACCAGAAGGAGAGACGGGACACCTACCGATTCCTCTTGCTTCTCACGCTCGGGTCTTCCCTGCCGTCCTCAGAGCTCCATCCGTCGCTGGGGTCGGCTGAAAGAAAGTCGGGGTGGGACGGGGCATCACACTCACCGCTTTGGCAAACCGGCAGGGAGCTCTCAGCAGGCTCAGCGGGGCACTAAGCAGACGCGTCGACCTTCTCTGCGGAGGTCATCCGGCCGCCACCCTCTGAGAGGCAGCCAGGCCTTCCGAGGGGCCAAAGGCTGGGGACCGAAGTGGGCGTTCACCACCCTCGCACCTGTGCCCTGCTATTCCATGTCTGCCCGGCGTCCCCGTGAGCGAACCCCCAAACCGGGCCCTCCTCTGCCCTCCGCAGTGAACGAGTCTCCCACAGGCCACCTGCCCTTCACTGCCGGCTCCGTGTCTATTTCAAAAAGCCAAGATGACGTTGAAGACAGCCCCCTCCTTCCACTCCGGAAAGGTCGGCTCCGTGAATGTTGGATGAGCTTTGGGAATGAAGAAGTGAAAAGGTGCCTGGCTATTTAATATTTGTCTTCAGCAGGGGGGAGGGGGACATGAGCACTTTACTGCAGTCCTGGCGGCTGCACGGCTTCCCCACGCCGCCCGCCCTCTCATCTGCCTCGCGCCCCGTTTCTCCGTATGTGTGTTTCCCCAGAAACCACGTAGTCACGACGGTGTCCCTGAGTGGGTGCAGGTGCGGGGGCCTGGCTCTGCAGAGCATCCCCACGTCCCCCGCCTGCTGCCCCCGCCCCCGCACATTGCTCTCGGCGAGGCTCTGCCTGACCACCCAGACCGCGACACGTGGAGTTCATGGGAACGGTATCAGGTCCAACAACTCTGAGGCTGTCCGCCTTTTCCCTTGTGAAACCTGTCAGCCCTTCGTGCGTGTCCTCTGGGATTCCAGTCGTGGCTCCGTCACGCTCCGAGTCCCGTCTATGCAGCTTCTCCTTCAACGCGGAGTGCGGTGTCGGCGAGATGAGACTGGTTCTGGGGGCCACCCGCACCCTGCACAGCACAGCCTCCACCACGGGCCGGAGTGCTCCCTGAGCCACACTCGGCTGCGCCAGCAGGTCCCCCCGCACAGTCTGTGCAGAGGCCCTTCCAGAGAAGCGACCCTTCAAAATGGAGCAGGGATGGCGGTCCTTGCTGGGCGGTGCTGGGGGAGGGAGGCGTTCAGGACCCCAGCGCACGGAAGGCAGAGCGCCCCGAGCCCGGTGGCGTGTTCAGGGCTCTCAGCTGCGTTGCTCAGCCTTGGCACCAGCGACACTGGGGGCTGTGCGTGGGCCTCCTGTGCTCGTGGGATGTCATCAGCATCCCTGGCCCCACCCACCTGATGCCAGCTGAATTGTGACAACAAGATATGTCTGCAGAAATTGCTAAGTATCCCCTATTGGGCACCACCCCAACCCCTTCATTGAGAGCCAGAGGTCTGGAGACAAGAATGTGGGACAACCGAGCTGATGTGCGGAGGGGAGAGGGTCGTCTCCTCTTCTCACATGCGCCTCCGTGGCTCCAACAGTCCATCTCTCGACACTGGTGACCCCAACAGGCACACCGATCTCCCCTGCTCCTGCCTGGCTCTCCCATGTCCCATGGGTACCCCAGCTTAGCACGTCCAACCTGGGGCCACCATCTCACCCACTGTTCCCTCTCTCAGCCTCTGGGGAAGCGAGCAAACCCCAGGACCTGAGACGTTACCGAGGTTCAGGGGTGCCGGCAAACCCCTGCTGGAAAGACTGGCAGCGGGTTAAAGGGTTTTACACTCAGCGACGCATCCAAGTCACTCAGCAGAGCAAGACCCCCGGGCTTCTCCAAAGCACCTTCCACCCGGGCAATACGTACGTTTCGCAGCCGAGGGCTGGCGGACCAGGGGCCCTCACGCATGGGGCAGCCCCTTCTGGTCAAAGTGACATCCCGTACTTGGCGTCTCTGAACAAGGCCATTTGGAAAACAGATAAAGTGACACGGTGCCCCCATCCGGGCTTCCGGGAGTCACCGATCTCTCGTGTGGCGTCTGCTGAGGCAGCAGCGAGCTGAGAGCAGGACCTGAGGCTGCAACCTGGGAACTTGGCACAGAGACTCGACACTCTCGGTAGGAGCTGTTTGGACAAAAATGACTCCGGGGTGAAGGCTGGCTGGACCGTCCAAGTCCCGCCTACAGAACTGTCCCACGTCACGGAATGCAGTGCTCAGCAGGCCGGGTGGTTCTGCTCCATCAGCGAGAACTTCATCCACAGGCAGCCTGCACCTCTGACCCACCTCTCTCTGAGGCCCTCTGCCTGCGATCCCTAAAATCCACACAATTCGCAACAGACAAGTCATTCACGTAGAAGCTGTTTGTCCTGTCTTCTGTTGAGGATTGGAATTTGTGAGAAAAATGGGAAGGATGAGCGACATAAAACACCTCCAAGGGGCACCCAGGATCTTCAGGGGTGCAGAAGACTCAATGCCCCCCAAGATCAAGGCATCCCTGGGTGAACAGAGGGGTGAGATGAGGGTTCTCCTGCTTGGGGAAGAGCCTCCGACAGCCTCTTGTAGTGACCGGGTCAGAAATGTCCGCTGGTGGACCAGGTGTCCGTGGTCGCAGGGAACGCTGGACAGTGCTGTCCATCACGCTGTCCGTCACCGCAGGAAGTCACACACTTCCCGTGTCCTAATGTTCACTGTGAGCTAGCCAGGCTCCCCCCAATCCACGCTCAGTGACAGGGTCCCTCAAATGTGCCCACCCCATCTTCTGGGGCTCGGTGTGAGTGGGCCCTCCTCAGGGAGCACCTTGGCCCTGGTCAGGGGCCTCTCTCTGCTTCACACACCCCACTGCCCATCCTCCTCTGCTTGACATCGGAGCTCGTGCCAAGCCCAGGCTCAGTCAGCCACCAGGATGCACTTCCTCCCATGTCCCCTCCCTCCCGTCTTCCTGGGCCCGGAGAGCGGGGCAGCTTGGAGCACCGAGTTCTGTTCAGCAGTCACGGTCCCCAAAGGCACCGAGATGCGATGCAGCCCGTCTACCAGTACTCATCCAGGGATGAATCTGGGAAGCCAGCAGGGCCTGTGCCCTGCCTGTCCTGGCTGCACGCTGGCCAAGCACAGCCCCCCGCAGGTAGGGGAGCCCTATGGAGCACCACGAAGACCCCGCGGTGCCCGTACGCTCCCTCCGTTCTTCCCGACGGGGCTGCCTGGCCGAGCCCACCAGCAGCTGGCAGGCAGCTGGCAGGCTGCTCCCTGGGGAGGTCAGCGAGGACTCCGGAGGGATGACTTTCTCACTCCACCGCCCGCTCTGGGATCCATCACAGAGACTGGCCAGCATGGGCGCTGAAGGAGCTGAGGAGACACGCTGCCTGGTTCATCCATTGTGCAAAGAGGAGGTTTAGGCCAGGCCGCACGATGGGGTCCGAGTTCCTCCCCAAGAGCCCGGGGGGACTTCTGCACTGGGGGCGGGGGCTCTCTTCATCCCGAGTCGTCCAGGCGAGCCCCTTCGGAGAACACTCAGCATTCGCAGTTCCCACGGTCCCGGGCCTCGCTGAGCCCGGCCCTGGTCTCACGGTGGCTGGAGACACGTGGACACCGCCCCCGAGGGAGCACAGCTTGGGAGAGCCGCCCTTTCGCGGCCACAGCCGTGCTTGCCCACGGCGACAGTGCGCCCGACCTGGTGCAGGTGTGTCATCCTCAATGTACGTGTGTCCTGAACATCAGGGACTAAACGTCCACAGAGCAGGTGACGCCAGTGAGGTGGGTGCCGTCCCGGGGGCGGGCTGGGGACAGCGTGAAATGGTGAGTCTGCCTGCACGTGGGTGCTCCTGTTTCAGGCACCGGGACCCCACCGCCCCCCACAGTTTGCTTCAATCACATGCTCAAGGCGCTGGGCCTGGCTGCCCACCTGCTCTGTGGAGTCAGGCCTGCAGGGTGCCAGTCCTGGCCCCCACTTGACAGCAGAGTGACCTTGGCCTCCAGGTGCTGGGGGCGGCCAGGGAGGACATTCCTCCCAGAGCCCCCAGAGAGGACACAGCTCAGCCAGAGCAGTGAGACCGTTGTGGGGTCCTGACCCCCAGACCGTAAGGGAACAGGTCTGGGTTGTTTCAATCCACTACGCTTGTGATTGTTCCAGTGGCCACAGGAAGCTCACACAGGGGCACCCATCGGGTGTAACCCTCTGTCCCTCCCGGGTCCCCTCCACCACTGCCGGTCTCGCCCCAGGTCTCATGTCCCCTTCAGCCACCGGGAGGCCCCAGTGGAGACAGAAGAGCAGAAGAGACTCAGAGGTGGTCATCGCCCATCTCACCCGCCTCTCCTCCTGTCCACCCCTGAGGACGAGCCCCGCACTGCCACCACCACGATCTATCCCTGGGGCGACACACCCTCCGTGGAGGGACGGGATTTCCCACTTGCACAGAGCAGGCAAAGTGGCCAAGGCCACGAGACAGCTGGTGCGCGGGCCGGATGTGGGGGGTCTCCACCCATCACCCCAAGGAGATGCTGCTGGTCCTGCAGGTAAATACAGTGGCAGCACCGAGACCAACAGGTTTGAGGAAAGAGGACCCCGGTGAGAAACAAAAGTGAGTACGGATGGTCCCCAACCACAATGGTTCCTTTTAGGATTATCTGACTTCTCAGTGGTGCCAAAGTGATATGCATTCAGTAGAAACCACACCTCCATTCTGCATTCGATCTTCCCTGGGCTAGCGATACGCGGTGGGATACTCTCTCGTGGTGCTGGGTGGCAAAGGTAAGCCTCTGACTCTGCCGTGTGCTGTGCGGCCAGTGCTTTCTCGGTGTGGTGTTTTGTGTTATAGCATCCCCCTCACATCTCCAAAACACCCACCTGTGTCCCTTGCTTCTGGGGAGAAAAAGAGAAAGGTAATGACTCATGATAAATGCAAGATAATCGCCCAACTGTAGGCTAACAGAAGGAGCTGCTCGGAGCAAGGCTGAGCTATGACGTTCAGGAGGCAGATGCATTAACTGCACGTGTGGCTTACGATAGTTCTGACTTGCGATGGGTTTATGGGGACGTAACCCCACCACAGGTCGAAGAGCATCTGTATCCTCTAAACCGAAGAGCCCCTAAGAGCCCGAGCACACCCCGATGTGAACGGATGTGCAGCGAGGGCCGGCACTCTCCATTTCACTCCAGTGCACAGGCATTTATTCTCAACTAACAGCGCGGCTGCTGGAGCCATAAAAAATCTGGATGCTCTGCAAGATAATTAGAAAATAATTCAGGCCTTCGTCTCAATCTCTCAGCAATGCTAACAGAGTAAAAAAAGGGACTGTTTCCTTATCTGCTGAGTGATGGGTGGCTCAGCACGTTGGCAGCTCTGTAGGCTGCCTCCTGCCCGGGAGTTGCCACACACTCTCAGCTCCCATTTTAGTGCCTGATGTTCCCAGTAAACACACAGGTACACATAAGTATCCACACACACGCATACACATGCAACGCACACACATGTACACACATGCACAATGCACACATGCACATGCAGATGCACACAATACACATGTACACACCTGCACATGTGTGCATACAAGCACACACGTGTGAACGCACAGTGCTTCTGCACAGATACACGTGCACACATGCACACACTCAATACACATGCACATAAACACACATGCACACACATACACATGCATGTGCATGCATACACACACGCACATACGTGGACACATGCACACACACACATACTCACACACCTTTAAACCTACTAGTAGCCAAATGTGGCAGTTATTTGATGGAATTCATTTATTTTGCTTCCTCTTGAAAAATAATGAATATCAACTAAAATGCTGAATTGTTCCACCTCAGACTAGAAACAGTTATTATTACATTCAAATCTATAGTAGTTAACAAAATGCTGAAATCTCCACCAATCACAATATCTCCTAGAACTGGTTCTTCACATCATTAGGGTTCAATCATTTCCTGAGTTGTGATGCATCACCAGCCAGGAAAAGATGCCATGGTGGATGGCGAAAGGTCATCAACTCGGCCTGTGATCACTAATAACCCTCCAGAACACTTCCTGTCTAATTGTTCTGCTGCAAACAAAACAACGTGGGTGGCTCTTCGGACATTAGAAGTCGGCACTTCGATGTCAACTCTACCCGGCAGCAGGAAGCTGAGAACTGAGGTCATTGGTATATCTTTAAGAGTCAGGTTTTAAAAAATCACTGGTTTAAGAAAATCTCTTTGAAAACAGAAAGCAAGGTTAAAACTTTTGTAACTACATGCAATTTTATCACCAAACATCTATCTTGGTAGAGTCATTAGGGCCACTAGACTAAGTGGATGGAAGACAAAAACAGCTTAATATAGTGGATCTAAGTTCATTGGGTATTTCTGGTTGTGTTGGTGAGATTCAAGGCTCCATTCTCCTTTCTTAGTATAAAATGAGGTTCGTGGCAGTAGAGTGAAATGGAGCACTGATCTATGACCCGGCTAATTAAATTAGTCAAACAAGGAGGTTCACTGTGGGGACACCTAAGAAAACAAACAGAAATCTCAGCCAATACCTGCCTCTCAAGGCTACAAAATCAGTCCAAACACTAAGCACAGGCAGTCACAAACAGCAAGCGAGACCTTAAACTACAGCCAGCCAACGTTTTCCTTTCCTTGTGTCCAAACCTGGACCATGTAAGTCAAGTCCCTCCCTATGCGCAGGGCACTCCTGCCCACTTCTGACTTGGTGCCCTCCGATGAAATCATTTTTGCTCCAATAAACTCTTAGAATTTGCAATATGCCTCAGTTGATCTGTTACCGCGTCCCCTCCTGCAGTCCTCCGAGGCTCGGACTGGCAGGTGACTCGGGGATGCTTGCGGACCTGGCTCGGTTTCTCTCGGACCTGATTTGTTTCAAAGGAGAGACATCGGACAGCAACTATGCGAGGACTGCTAATGAGCTAACTTCCTTCTCATGCTCTGGGAAAATAAATAAATGAAGCAGCTCCCAATTACCCACAAGAATAAGCACGACCAGGAGCGAGGAGCCTGCCGGCCTGAGCCGCCTTCTGCCAAGCAAAGGAAACCTTCACTACGATGCACCTCACGCTTCTCAGGGGCTGCGTGGTCTCCCGACACCCCCGCCAGGGCGGAGGGCTCTGTTCCCGAGGACAAACCTCAGAGACGGTTTCCCATCAGGGTCTTTTGCTTCAGCGTCCATTCAGCGTGCAAACTATCCCCTTAAACATGGAGGCCAGGCAGTGGGAGGAGGAAACCACCCCACGTCCGACGTCTATCGTACCTGAACTCAGCTGGGCGGGGCGGAGTTCGTCACCCCAAAATGTGCCTCTTGGGATATGAAATATTTTAATCTGTGTTTTTTTTTTAAGAAACAAAAGACTCAGGAGAACCTTTGACCTTCTCCCTAGTTGCAAAACAATATTTAGATGGAGGGTCCGTCCAGGAAGGCTGCTACATCATATTAACTGTAGTTAATATCATCACATTAACCGCAGTTAATATGAACTAAGTTTCACAGACAGGAACCCGGCAAGGCTCCATGGTAGCAGATGGCCCGGCACACACTCAGTTACCCATCCCCGTGTGAGTGGCCCTCCTGCCTTTGCAACCCTAAACCACAACCCCCTTCCTTCTTAGCTCCAAAAGCATATAACCTCCATGGCCCAACTTGTCCTTGGGCCCCACATTCTTATGGAACCCCATACATACATCCACAAGAAATTCCGGACATGTTCTCCTGTTAATCGGACTCGCGGCAATGTGATTATAAGCCCAGTCAGAACTTAGAAAGGTAAATCATTTTCTCCCCTCACATGAAACCAAGTTTTTACAGATTCAGTGAAGTATGCACTGGAACACTTTTCTTTTTCCAACATCATTCGACTCGAGCTCTCTGGAGAACGTCCTTATTATCTTAAGTGTAATAAACATATTAAACCTGTCATCCCCCCATCTTGACAGTCAACCGCTGACTTCACCGGAGAAGTTGTTTCCATCCCTCAGAGCTGTTCACATGTCAAGAAGGCTTTTAGAGCCAAACCCCTCTTCTGAATTCCAGTCAAATGCCTCTGGATCTGACTCCAAGGGTGGGCTGCTGTCATCTGGGTTAGCCCTAGCTGAGGCAGCTTAAAAAAATCACTGCAAACCCAGCAAAACACCCACGCAAAATAAAACGAGACCTGTCTTTCAGGGTGTCAAGCGCCTGCCTGTCAGGGCAGCAAAGAGCTGACCTCAAATCCCCCCGGGGTAGCCCACAAGCTGAGGGAGGGGCTCTCCCAACACAGAGCTAATAAAAAATGTGGTCGGTCTCATCGGAAAGGCTCCTTTCGGAAGATGCTACATGTTCCTCTCTAGCTCTGGGAACAGGATTCCAAAGGGCCCGTCAGAAACAGCTGCCTCTGCACCCACGGCTGTCCCCTCCCTGAGCACGTGGGTCCAGTGAATTCCAGGATCCCTTCAAAGACGCAACGGATGGTTTCATGCAGAGGTGGGAGGGAATGTGCTATTTGTGGACATCTGGTCTCTCAAGTGGGCTTTGTAAGACATTCGGAAAAAATAAATGCTGGCTGATGACAATGCTGGGAAGGACGTTTGGAGTGGCTGAGGGGATGAAATGCTTTATCTGAGTTACAAAAAAAAACTAACACAAATAGAAAGCCGGAGCTGACCCTTCGGGAGGATCGATGTTTCTGCAGAAAGTGCCATAAAAACTTAATTACTAAATTCTGAAAGAGCGAACACGATTCCTTAAAAATCAATTTCCCCCATAACGAGGGAAAGCACACTTCCCTGTCCTCGTTGGGAATCCACAGTCCAGACACGCACACAAGGCCCCACAGTGCCCAGCTCGTTACCTGCCGAGGCCTCCAGCTTGCGCTTGTGGGGGGGGTCTTCGATGATCCTGTTGAGGTCCCCGCGGTGTTTCAGGTCCACCGGCTTCTCCCACACAGACAGCTGCATTGTCGGGTTGAAGAAGAAAACCCGGTCATCACCTGTCCAGACCACACACCTGTTGGAGTTGGAAAACTCCTCTTAGTTAGGCTCACAGACGTTCAGCGAGGACATCATAGACTGCACATCACACCTGAAGACCTCCCAGGGACCTGGTTTCCAGAGGAAAGAGACCACTTTACCGCCGACCAGAGCATGTCCAGGGGACTCGGCTGTCCCCAAAGCCTCCCCTGAGGCAGCTAACCTGACGTCCAGGGCCCCCCTCACCTGTCCTTCCCCAGAAGAACTGGCTATGCGAAGACACCAGAAAACACACGTTCCCCAAAGTCCCCTCACTGTGAGGCCCCAACGTCCTTTACCAGGTCTACACGCTCATTTGTCCACCGAGTTCCTGGGGTATTTTCCCCGCTGGTTCGAGTTAACTTAGGAAAAGTTCGTTTGACTTAAGAAAGAGGCTTCCCATTTGGGGATGTATTTGGCCCAATTCTCTCCCTATTCTGGATCGTCCATTGTATGTTTGCTCTGTCGGGGACACATTGGGGATATACCACTTTTCAGCCTCTGGTGCCGGGTCCAGAGATGCCCCCGCAACATCCTAGCCTGGCAAAGAACCAGCAGCCTGGGATGCCCCAAAGGTAGGAAACAGTCACAACTCCCTAACGTCGCCACCACCAAGCTTGCAGAGCAAGGGGCGAGTACAACCAATCAGGGACTTCGTAGGGGGTTATTCCCCAGGAGGGAGCAGAGTGACGACAATCAACACAGCACATTTGTACCCGGACACAAGAACCCAGTGTCTGTGTCGTAGGGACACAGGTGCATTGGAACCAGATCGTTGGTGGCACAGTAAAGACACAAACAGGGTTCCCCGAGGGAAACAGGCCCATCTACTTGTCACAGTTGGCTTCAACGAGACTGAGCCAGCTATAACATGCAGAATTAATTTTATGTATCATTTTATGAACACTTTAAGTAATATGCGTATGTTCCCCTTCTTGGATCACAGCGCATTTCTGGATGGCGGCCATCCTCCCTCCTCCTCGCCCCACGCCCCGAGGATGCGACTCGAGCAGCGGTGTTCTTTAAGTCTGGTACAGAGTGCCCACACTTACCGCCCAGATATAAAGCTTGAATGTTCTCAAAGGAACACTGGAGCTGCTGCTTTGTCATCCACACAGTACGGACTGTTCAGCTTCAAATGGCAAAGCCCAAAGTGTATGGGCTCTGTGGGGTGGGGACACTTCCGCTTCTCTCCAAGCTTCGACCTCAGCCCCGTAGGGAGAGGGAGAATGTGCCTCCCCCACCCCCACAAAGACACACTTTGGGTCCCTCTCACCATCTGTGTTTTGCCCCTGGGTGCCCTGTCCCAGGAGAAGTATCCTTCGAGGACAGAGCCTCGGTCACACCCCAGGGCTGAGGTCTCAGAACTAAAGCCCGCATCAGTGTACCCTTTGCTGTCTTTTCTCTTTTCCCTATTCTGCACCCTTGGTCTCTGGGGAGGGGCTGACCAGCAGGTCGAGGAGGCCTGGCCGGTGCACAGGGCGGGTTGGGTGAGGGGCCAGACACAAAGATTCAGGGAGGAGAGAGTAGATGCTTCTGTCCCACCTTCCTTCCTGCGATGTCGTGGTTTCTGATGTAATACATGTACTTGATCTTCGTCCTGCTTCTGGGACAGAGCTTCCGAACCCTTGAGTGTCCTCGGTGGGGCGAGGGAGTGGGGAAGGCAAAACGTGTGTTGTTACTTCTCACCCAAGCCCGTTCAGCCACACCTGGTCTGCGCATATGAAGAGGCTTTGGGAAAGTGCCCGAGGATGGGGCTGGGTGGGGACCAGGGAACCAACCCTGTGACTAGAGGGTTGGGACCTGAGATCTCTGGGGAGGGGAGAGAGGATGGAGATTGAGTTCAATCACCAATGGCCAAAGATTTCATCAATCATGCCCATGTAATGAAGCCTCCATAAAAATCCAAAGGACCGGGTTGGGAGAACTCCCAGGGTGCTGAGCACATGGAGATTTGGGGGGAGTGGTGTTCTTAGATGGCCCAGAAGCTCTGTGCTCCTTCCCCTAACCTTGACCTACGCATCTCTCCACTGGCTGGTCCTGAGTTATATCCTTTTATAGTGACCCAGTGACTGGGTGAGTAAAACGCCTCTGAGCCCTGTGAGCCGCTCTAGCTAATTAACCAAACCCAAGGAGGGGGTTGTTGGAACCTCCGATCTCTAGCCTATGGATCAGAAGCCCAGGAGACAACCTGGACTTAGGACTGGAGTCTGAAGTTGGGTTGTGGGACTGAGCCCCTAACTGTGGGGTCTGGCTCTGTCTCCAGGGAGACAGTGTCAGACTGAGTGAAACTGCAGTACTCCCAGCTGGTGTGCAAGAGTCACGCCGTGTGCGGAGACCTGCTCACCTCTTGCCAGAAGTGAAGTTGTGTTGCCGGGAGTCTTGAGAGTGAAGGAGACATGAAGGGGTGTATCTCTCTTCCCTCCTCCTAAGCCCATCCTCCAATCCGACCGTCTCCAGCTACAGCGCACACCCCGACAGTGTTTTAGTGGAGGGCGTGTCGGAGACCAAAGGCTCTGCTGGCTTCTCAAGAGCAGGGGAGGCTGGCACAGAAGCCAAGGTGAGCACTAGGGCTGCTCTGTGCCTGGGACGTGCATCCCCCGTATTCACAGCTCTCAGCTCCAGGACACGGCAGCGCCCAGCTCTTCCAAAGCCTGGCCAGGCTGGTGCCACCGGTGACTGCCCAGGACGACTGGGGGCACACAGCTGAGAGCAATGTCCGGGCACCGTTTCATTTGTTGTTTTCCCGACAGGGGAGAATCCTCCCGCCCCTCCTTCTGGGACATGCTGAGGTGCAGACAGAGACACAGGACAGGCCGGGGTGGCAGCCACTTCTCACAGTCCTCACCTCAGCACCAATGAAGACATCGCCACTGACGGTGACAGAGATCCGACCTGCGTCCACGTGTCTTTACTCCTGACCACCGTCACTTTAACTTTTTTGCCCCTCGAAAGAGTTTATCTCTCAATCTTTTGTTATTGTACAGAAACATATGTCCCCGTATTTAAATAATGAGCAGCATAAAAATGCCAGGCAGTGACCAGCAGCCGCCGGTGACTCCCACTTTGTAGAGAGGAGACGTGAAACCCTCAGGGGGCGTGTGCTCAACACCAGAGTGACGCCCAGGACCCAGACTGTCCCCACAGGATGGCAGCCTTCTGGGCAACTCCATCTTGACTGTGGGCGAGGGCTTCCAGAAGAATCTGCCTTCATAGAGATTCGAGGTGCCACCGCCTTTGCTGTTGCCTCAATCGAGCCCTGACTCACGCCAACCCCAGGGGTGACACTTGCAGGGAGATCCCAGCTGAAGGTTTCCCTGCCCAGTCTGAGAGGCTCAGCATCGCCCACCTGTTGACACCGGTGAGGCCCCTCGAGTCTCAGGATTCAAGTGAGGCTACCTGGAGACTAACAAAAATAAGCCAAGGACAGAACTGGCGGGTCACAGCCCACAGTTCCTCGGGGCACTGCAGGCTCCCAGCAGATGGCCCCTGACGCGCCTGCCTCCGGCTGTGACGTCAGCTCTCTACCCGAGCTGCTCCTCCCGGCAGCATCCTGCTTTCTAAGCTCTGAGCCCTAAAACTAATTTTTCCTATGACCTTCTCATTCTGCTCCCAAATCACTCCATGATAAAAGAACATTAAAAAAATTTTTTTTTCCTTTATTGATTTTAGAGAGAGAGGAAGTGAGAGGCAGAGAGAGATAGAAACATCGATGAAAGAGAATATCGATTGACCTCCTCCTGCATGCCCCCCACTGGGGATCGGGCCCACAACCTGGGCATGTGCCCTGACCAGGAATGGAACCAGCGACCTCTTGGTGCAGGGTCGATGCTCAACCACTGAGCCACACCAGCCGAACGATAAAAGGACATTTAAAGACACCGAAGATGGTGCCCGCTCACAGAGGGTATTTGGGGTCTGGCCTCCTCTGAGGGTGGCGGGGGAGAGCCAGGCGCATCGTCACTGACAGCCACCCAGGTACTCTCCCTGGAACAGAGGGCAGAGGTGCCCACCTTTTCTGCAGACCCAGGTCTCACTGACGCAGACACGCCGGCATTATTTCTATATACACCCGCAAAGGCCCCGCAGCAGGACCACCTCACTTAGACGCCGCTTTCCTTCCTGCAGAACGTGCCCACGTGCAGAATGGTCCCTGCCATGAGCTGCAAATTAATGTTTAAGCCACAGTCTTACCGAAGACGCGTGCATTTCTCTTTGGTGACAAGACAAGGCTATTTGTCATTGCTCTTGGGTCTCAGGGCCGCTTACCAGGGGGAGCCGGGCACCGGGGTGGAGGCCACCGGTCTGTTGCCTTTTGCTGCTCTGTCTTCACCTGTCACGAGGATCGACGGAGGCTCCTTTCAACAGAAAGAGGAGAGCGCCCTTTACATTTTCATTTCAACACTCATCCTCAGCTGCAGGCGACCAAGTAAAGAATAACAAGTCTCCTGCAGACAGACCTGCCGACAGTCTCCGTGAGACAATGACCTGCTCAGGACAGCAAGGCACAAGGGGCCAGGCAGTTGTGCTGAGAATATGGAATTTATGGCACAGCAGACCACGGGGAGTAACTCAGACAAAGGCACCCCTTAGTCGTCCTGAATAAGCTCAACTGTCTGCGTCCGCAGACACGAGAGGCGGAAGCAGCCCAGAGGTTGTCCCCAGGTGCCTGGACTTCGTGGGGGCAGACAAGCCCACCGGGTTCATCTCCGGAAACAGGCTGACCCAGCAGCTGGAGTCACTGTGCCACCAGAACAGTATGGTCAGTGGTAGAGAAACCTGACACTGCGAGAGGTCCCAGGTGTCCCTGGGCTGGCCCGTCTTGGTTCCTTTGAGGCAGGAGGAAGTGACAGTCCCATGTCCTTGCAGAGTCTGGTTGCACCAGTGACCATCCCCTTCCTAGGGCACCTCGCTGGCGGCAGAGTTCAAGGGACATTACAATGTGCAGGTGACTCCATGCACAGCTGGGTTTGAAAAATACCGTGTGTCTGCATCTCCATGTAGAAAATAATATTTGAGCACCTACATGAAAATGAAGCTTGATTCCCTAAAATTAAGAAGAAAAAATAACTCCACGTGTCTATAAGAGCCAAAGATGAGATAAATCCCAAACACGCGAACAGGTGTTCTGTTCGAACCGTGGACCACAGAGGGATGCTGCTGCCTGTTGACACCGTCCACCCGTGAGCTGAGGACCAAGAGGGCTCCTGTCATCAGGACTGAACGGCCAAGAGGAAGGACGAGAAGCCCTGGGACAAAACGTTCAGCTCAGAAAGCGGCTGTGTGGTGGGGACAGGCACACCAGGCAGGGCGTCTGTTAACTGTCGGACAAGTCGGGCTCCGGAAATGAGGGGTCATCCATTCACACCTGCATTGCTGTGGCCCTGGGTCTTCCCATGGCCCCCCATTCATTGTGACAAGTAACTATACCGAATAAATGATTTGCAATGTATATAATTACCCATGCGTTTGTAAGTCTAAGAATTTTGGGGTAGTAGAAAATGGCTTTGTTCCCTGTGATGAAACAACTCAAGAAGAATAATTAACGTAACAGGGAGTCTAGAGAAAGGGTCGTGTTGAGAAATACATTGAAGACCAGAGCCCACACCACTAATCCAATTAGAGCGGTGGGGTGAAATTGCCATGATGGGGCTAATTGAACAATAGCAACCCAATGAGGGGCCTTTGAGCAGTAGATTACCCCGCTAATTATTTGAGGAAATGTGGTGGGCCGTGATTTGTGACGGGACGGACACTTAAATTTGGCGACACTGGGATTCTGGGCTGCTAATTACGAGGCCCTCTTCTGGGCCCGCACAGGTGATGCGTTCCTGTTGGTGATAAAAACGGCTGATCAAGACATAGCTGCCCTTCCACACTAAGGTAATAAAAGTGAATTAGACATGCAGAGCAGAGGGATAAAGAAGGTAGTTAAGGCCCTAGAAAGACCGTCTGATTAATAAATATGCCATCCTGGTAGAGATCCGATCTCAGAGCGAAATCCTACATCGAGAAACAGAAGCGGGATTTGCACTGACATTCATGGTCCGTTTACACCGCTTCATCGGCTGAGTCGGAGAAGCCCTGGACACCGCGGTGGTGCCGGGAACGCCACAAAACCAGGGAAACAGGGACATCACAGATCCTAAGGCGGAGACACAGCCGAAAAAGTCTAGTGAGCGGAGTGTTAACACGCAGCCGGGCCAGAGGCCTCTGGTCTCTCTGACAGATGGAGCGAAATAAGCCCTGTTGGTGATTTTCAAATGTCGCCGTGACAGCAAGTCCCTCCGGATCTTCATGGGACAGTGATGTGCCCGATGCATTCATGGCTGGTCCTCAACGCCATTTGGCAATCAGGCAAAGAGACGGCCTAAGACCAAACAGTGTTAAAAACCAACCAAACAAATACGTGTTGTGCTATCTTCAGAGTCAACACCAAACACTGACCACGGCCTTGCCCGAGGGTGTCTGCCTGCAGCCTGTCTGCTCTGCACGCATGAGCCCCCCCTGAAATGTGGGGACAAGGACATGGGAGCCAGGGTCACGCCCAAGCTCCTCTGAGCAGAGCACTAGCCAGCAAGCTCCAGGGCCCGTCCAGGCGGGAAGGCCAGCTGCTGCATCAAAGCTCTCTGATGCTTTATTCTTCCCACAGGTGTCCTCTGTCGTTTCTGGGTGTGACCGTTTTGCACAGGGACTGGCCAAGTGTCATTGCACAGAGTCAGGTGGGAAAGCCGGTGGGAAGGGTGTGCAGCCCAGGCCTCCCACCCAGAATTTCGAGTCCCAAGACCGACCTTGTCTCCTTCGTGCCGGGTGGGGCTCTTCCTCTCCGCGCGCAGCATCAGGGCAGGAGGGTGGGGCGTTCGGACCCGGTCCCTGCTTTTATCTGCAGAACAAAAACAACGGTCATTAGCATTCCATTGGCCACATCAGTTTGAAAAAGCTAAACAAGGGCAAAATGTGGCCTTGAAAATTCAGTTGGTTAGGAAACCCATCCGCCAAAGGACTGGGCTGCCACGTGGCCTGGATTGTAGTCTCGTGACAAGTCCTCACAATGACGCCCATCGCAGTCCCCTCCACAACGCTGTCAGCCACGCCTCATGGACCAGGCCACATGGGTTATGGGCTGAGGGGACACAGGCTCCCTGACAAGGACAAGAAGCCGACGTGGGACCAGGCTTTCTAAGGCTCCCATGGCTGGTGGCCATGACCGGCCACCTTGGCCCCGGGCCCACCTCTGTTTATTCATCACTAGCCTGGTGCTGCCTTGCCAGGGACTGGCCAACCCAGCGCTTGAAAAGCAGTTGTTTGGGAGGAAAGAGGGGAAATGTCAAAAACATGGATTCTAAATAGGAAAACAGAGTTCAGGTTCCACCTCGCTCTACAATGTCTACATAGACCGCAAACACTCGTGAGCGGTGAACAGGGGTTGCAACAGACACGGAGATCAACTAACCACTGTTCATACCAAGAACTAGAAGAGGCACCCAAACCATCCAACCACACACTGACCCAGCAGCACAGTCACCGAGGAACCCTGGGCAGTGTCTCACGGGCTTGAAGGCCAGGACCCTCGGAAGCATCTGTGCAGCCCAGGGAGGCCCAAGGAGGGCCTGGTGGAAGGGAGGGTGGGAGGACAATAGCATCACTTTGCACATGTGCGTGTCCTTGTGTAGATGCATGCACACATGCGCACACAGGAAGTGGTGGGAAGGTGCCTCAAGGTCCCTTCCGAGCCCAGGCATCTGCACTTGGAGGGCAGAGGTGGGGGGAGGGGCCAAAGAGCCCATCGCACCTGCACTCCATCTTCCTCAAGACACTGCTACTCTGGCCTCCGCTGCCCCCATTCTGGGGAGGAGGTTTGCGGGAAGGGGCCACTCAGGCGGGGGCCCCATGTGGGGCCTGGCCATCATGCCTACAGTATGCGTCTATCCCTGGAACCCTGAGGCTGCATGGCAGCATCAAGGGGACAGCTCTGGACTTGGACCAAACATCCGGTCCCCACAGAGGTGCTGCGTCTGGACAAGGCAGACGTGCACAGAGCCGACTGGTCCCCTCCATCTGTCAAGTGGTTAGATGGGTGGACAGAAGCGCTATGACCACGGTGAGGCCTGTGGTCGACCAGCTGTCACTCTGAAGACCCTGCGGGCTCTCCCGGCAGCCAGCTGGCTGGCCCAGGCTGCTAGAGGGCCCCTTAGCTAAGGCTGCTGGCAAGCAGACCCTTTCTTCACACAGAGGCTGGCCACCGAGCTCCTGAGCAGCTGTGGCCACCACCACGAGTCACGCCTCGTGCCCTGACAATGCCAAACACAGGTCTGTTTGAAGGGTGGCCTTGGGAAGGAGCCGGGGGCTTTGCATTGAACTGTATACGCAAACCTGACTCAGAACCATATTCTATTTCACAATCAATCACTCATGGAGCTAAGCCGAGCCCCTGCATCACCCCAACATGTCCAGAACCTGTAAGAATGATCCCCAAAGCCCACTGCTTGTCCAGAGGTCAGGGTCCGGAGGAGCCTGCCACCCAGACCTCTGCAGCTCCCACGCAGGGCGATGCTGCCCCCCACCCGTGTTTCCGTGACTGCAGAATGGAGCCAGCTGGACCGCCTCCCCAGCCAGAGAGGAGCTGCTGGGTGGGCGATGATTCAGGAAAACGGTCGTTTGCTGTGTAACTGAAGCAAAATGTCACAGAAACGGAAGCACTGCTGGAAAAGGCAGGGAAAACAGACATGCGCCCCAGTGACGCTGAGGTCTCGGGAGAGCGGGTTCCACCTTGAAATCATAGACCACTTCCTCGAGGTCTTACGTTGTACACAGGGACACCCCAACCTCACCAGCATCCTCGTCAAAGCCGCTTGGGCCGCACTTCCTCCGCGCCTGCCCCCTCGTCTCCGTTCCCCGGAGACGATGTGACAGATGGACCTGAACACCCGGCCCCAGTGTTTCCTCCTCTGGTGGGAGGAGGCATAAAGCAGTGTGGGGACTGAATTAGACCAATGACAGATTTTCCAGGGCCGCTGTCCCCGTCCCACAGAGTCCGTGCTGTAATGACACGTCAAGGGACCTCCCTCTCAGCCTCAGCTGGCTGTCACCCCAGCCACCCACCAGCTGCACCGGGGATGGGCGCGGGGTCTGCCCAGGCAGCCTGGAGAGGCAGCGGCGGGGCCCAGCTCTTTCCCACCTGCGGCGGCAGAAACAGGTAGGAGGGGTCCGAGCAGGGCAGACGGGCCTCGGGGGTCCAGTGGAGGGGGCAACTGCGGAGGGTGGCTGTCTGTGGCCAGCAACCCCCAGGGGACTAACCCTGAGGGAGCTCCCCAGAGCGACCGGCAGGACCGGGCACCCTCCTCCCCACCTTCGTCCCCTCCCGCAGCCCCAGCCCCAAGCAGGCCCCGGGAAAGGAGCAGAAAACTTTCAACCTCATGTGGAATCGCACGTTTCAGTTATGACCCCAGACTTGGCACATTTAGAGCCTGGGCTGGGACCTGTTTGACGGCTAGAAGTGGGCAGACGGGTTCTTCCGACCTGAGCAGCAGCCACGGTCCTTTGGTATGGATGTATGGATCCCATCCAAGTCTGAGGACACCCCGAGGGGAGGAGGGGCGGTGCTTCGCTCCTCTGCACGTGCTCGGGTCCACACGGTGGCTCCGCAGAGTCGGGGCGACCACCCCGTAGGCATGTCCACGTCTCCCCACACCAACCACGTGCACTGTCGAGATCGTGAGGAAGCTGCCAGTGGCCTGTGCCACGGTGCTGCCCTCTAATGAGAGCAGAGATGCTCACGAGTATTCCCTCATCGTCCCGAGAAAACAGTAAAATCATTCACTAAAAACAGTTGATCTTTTTTGTGTGTGTTGTATGTGCCCCTATCAGGAACCGAACCCGGGACTCTCTGGTCCACAGGCCGACGCTCAACCGCTGAGCCAGACCGGCCAGGGCAAAAACAGTTGATCTTTGTAAAGATCAGCTCTTATGATCTGGCTTCTGAGATCAATGGATTCGCGGTCCTCGCTGTGACGGCTTCTTCGTGGAGACACCTCGGGTGATTGCTCCCGCTGCCTAGTCACACACGTCCCCCTGAATTCCAGAAACGAGGTCTGCGCCTGGCCCTGCTGGGTCTCCTTGATGCGGGCACTTTGCACAGCCGTCGAGTTTGCAGGCCCCCTGGAGGTGTGCGGCATGTGCGAGGGGCCCTCTCACTGGGAACTGGTTCTGCGTCTCGGTGTCGCACCCGGGGCAGGGGTGGCCTCCACAGGCCACCTCAGGGGGCCACTCTGACACGCTTACATCCTCCTTGCCTTGGGCTCTCCTTCAACTCTGATGATGTCATAGCGCACTCCCAGGAGTGCCAAAGAGAAGCCATTGACGGAGGAAAATCAACCGGTTGTAAGACTGGGCGCTGACGTGCTCAGGGGCACACACGGTATATTTCCACGCGTGTGAGAGGTGGAAGGACACGTGCTCCCCTGCGATCCATCCAGTGATCAAGCCCAGTCTGCGATGCCAAGTGTTCTCCAATGGCCTTTGGTTAGATTTTCCTCCTGGCACAGCTGAGCGACAAGAGGACTGGGAAGGTCACCTGGAAGTCTGGGAGGAGAAAGGGGGTCGAGGAGGAAAATCTCCGCATCGGTCCACTGACAAGTATGTGTTTACTGCTCACTTGGAGATGGAACAGCCTCAGTTGCTGGTGGGGTGCGATCACCTTCCTCCCTCAAAATGCCGCAGGAATTGGCGAGGCTGACCGGAGGGAGCACAGGACAGGGTCCCTTAGAAGGTGACAGTGGCAGTAATATTTCCCCTTGAGAAAAGTAGGGACAGAGAGGCCACGCTTCTTCTCGTGGGCAGACACAGCTGTGGGCATGCTTGCGGCTCAGAAATTAATGGACCTATTTCTATGACGGAACGAGGTGGGCCTGCCAGGGTCCTACTCAAACTCGGCCGGCTCTCCAGCGTGTCACCACTTGGTCATTCGTCCAGGTTGAAGGCACCTGTTTTCTTAGAGTCTCAGACATAAACACTCAAAGGCACCTGCCGTGGTCTGGGATGAGGCCCCAGAACAAGGACAGCTCGAACACCACAGGAGGGACAGGGGCCCAGAGTGGCTGTGGGCCCTGGCCCCCGCCGAGCAGACATTCTGGACAAAGCACTAGGCTGTTTTTAAACATTCAAAATACTGCTTTTTAAAAATTACTAAAATAAAGGACAATTGCAGATAAGTCGAAATGGTCTCACGTGGTGAGAACGATGTCAGCACCTCCTAATTCAAACAGTGATTCTGAAATTCAATCTAATTTTAATTCATTAACATGGGCATCTGTTGGTCTTGGTTTCCTCATCTATAAAATAAAATACTCTCTAGCCCTGGCTGGTTTGGCTCAGCGGTTACAGCGTTGGCCCCCGGACCAAAGAGTTGCGAGTTCAGTTCTGGTCAAGGGCATGAACCTCAGTTGCAGTTCAATCCCCGGCCCTGGTTGAGGTTGTGCAGGAGGCAACCAATCAATGTGTCTCTCTCACATAGATGTTCCTCTCTCTCTCTCTCTCTCCTCTCTCTCTCTCTCTCTCTCTCTCTCTCTCTCTCTCTCTTTCTGAAAATCAATGGAAAAATATTCTCAGGTGAGGATTTTAAAAAGATAATTAAAAATATGCCCTGGCCGGTGGCTGGTTTGGCTCAGCGGTTAAAGCATCGGCCTGCGGTCTAGAGAGACCCGGGTTCGGTTCCCGCTAAGGGCATGTACCTCGGTTGCAGTTTGTCCCCGGCCCTGGTTGGTCGTGCGGGTGGCAGCCACTCGATGTGTCTCTTTCACATCGATGTTTCTCTCTCTCTCTCTCTCCCTCCTGCTCTATCTGAACAAAGAATGAAAAAGTGTCCTCGGGTGAGGATAAAAATAA